TGTTAAGAAAACATTTCCTCCTCTCTGTGGAGTGAGCATCATATATTAAGTATTGGATAAGAAATCATACCCCATTCTATTCACATTATATCCCTGAGCTAAATTATCAATAAGTAGTTGTTAAACACATGTTATGTGTCCAGTATCTTTTTAAAAGTTATGATGTGATATTCTATAGGTACTTACTTCTAAGAGGTTTATAATTTCCTGAACCCAAACTAATGTGTGTATTTCAGGTTTCAATGTTAACCACTTGGATATTGCTCCAAGATATGCCAGTATCTTAATGGGCATTTCGAATGGTGTTGGCACATTATCAGGAATGGTTTGCCCTATCATTGTTGGTGCAATGACAAAGAATAAGGTAAGATGGAGAAAAACAGATATTTAGTTGTAGAAGATTCTCTCTCAAAAAAAAGGATCTTTTTGGAAAAGAGTTAACATGTTGTTGGCATTTTCTTTCTGGTCTAGTCACCATACCTCTGAGTAGGGAAGATAATTAAGATAATCGAGGCTCAGAAGAAAATATCTCTTTAGGAACTAACAAAGTCCAGTTCCACAACCAATAAGAAATACGTTTCTCAACATCTTTTACTATTTCTCATATCCCTGTGTAACAACAACAACAAAAACCCCTTTTCCTTCTTGTTTATTAAAATAGGTGAACAGAAGTCTTCTGAGCTTTAGTTGTAAACCTCAATTCAGACACCTCTGCAGTTATCCATGGAAGAATATTATTATCAGCTGTATTTTCTTATATGTGTTTGTAGAACTTCAAAATTATGGTTTATCGGAGGAAATAAAAAGAATGGAATTAAAAGATGAGTAAATCAATAGAAATGAAAAGAGAGTATGAATATTTTAAAAATCAACAGGCCATAGGTATATTTGGAATTTTATTTCAAAACTTTTAAATTAAATATTAAATAATGGAAGTTACACTATTATAGAAAGTTTTTTAGCAGAGCGTTTGCTTTATATAATCAGGATGTGGGTATCCCTGAAGATAGTGTTTTATAAAGACTCAGCGGTGGAGCATTCAGGGAAGAGGCTAGGGTTTTCCATCATGGGGAGTTTATTCTGACAGTGCCACTTTTTGTCACTACAGTCACGTGAAGAGTGGCAGTATGTCTTCCTGATTGCTGCCCTAGTCCACTATGGCGGAGTTATATTTTATGCAATATTTGCCTCAGGAGAGAAGCAACCTTGGGCAGACCCTGAGGAAACAAGTGAAGAAAAATGTGGATTTATCCATGAAGATGAACTTGATGAAGAAACAGGGGACATTACTCAAAATTATATAAATTACGGTACCACCAAGTCTTACGGTGCCACAACACAGGCCAATGGAGGTTGGCCCAATGGTTGGGAAAAGAAAGAGGAATTTGTACAAGAAGAGGTACAAGACTCATATAGCTATAAGGACCGAGATGATTATTCATAACAAAACTAACTGCTGGATTTATTTTTAGTGTTTGTGATTAAATTCATTGTGATTGCACAAAAATTTTAAAAACTGTGGTGTAAACATGTAAACTTACCAACCAGGCAAGTCTTGCTGTAAAAATGAGATCAAAACAAACCCATGAAGTTACCATCAAGTGCAATCTGTAGAAGTTGTCAAGTTCCATCATTTCCATTCAGGTAATCCATTCTCGCCTTTGTGACTGGTCAAAATTGTAGAAACAAATAGTTATTCACTGGATTCATATGAGCTAAAACTCATCACCATTTAATAAAGCACAACTAGAACAGTTGGCACATCTCATCCTCCAAAGGTTAGGAAGCCAAAGCTACTTGATCATGCAACATGCACTTAAATATTTGTTACAATGTATTGCAAGATATCACACAGAAGTCCTGTTTAAAAAAATAAGTGAAACAAATCAAGTTGGCTGCATCATGTATTGGCAACATTTACTAACTGTAAATCATGTAGTTGGGATATCTTTCTTTTGAAGAAGTATATTGTATATTAGCAGCTAGCAAGTTGTACTGAATAATTATTAGAATTACATAATACGGGATATTTTGTTGGTCCTTAAAAGGAATATCTTGCAGTGTTTTATATGAAATGCTTGGGCACAAACACTTATTGTGAAAGAGAACTTGTAAATTGAGGGGTATGCTTCATGTTCCTCCATTCGTTTACCTAACAGTATAAACACTTCACATTTCAATAATATCCAACTTTTCATGTAGCATATCACATAACTTTTTTGCAAAAAATATAAAAAGAAATAGACTTCAATGTATTTTTTATTACAACTTTGTACTGGTTGTAACTTGCATTAGGAAAAAAAGATATATACACAATAAAGAATCTAATATGAAATTTACTACGGAGATGTAGCCCTTAAAATGCAATATTAACAACAAAAGAAATAGAAAATGGTTTAGATATCTTTCTTCCTTAATAA